CAAGAGTTGCATGCTCTACCGACTGAGCCACGCATGCAACCCAGGAGTGCACTTGTTGCAGTGAGCACTGGAATTGTTGAATCACTTTATTGCACACCTGAAACTAACATAACACTGTATGTTAACTATACTGGAAGTAAAATAAAATAGCAAGTGCAAAAATGGAAAAGTAGTGGTCAAAAGCAAAAGCTTAAAACTCAAAAATTTCCAACTTTTTTCTTTTTTAGAGAGAGAGAGCATGAAAGCAGGGGAGAGGGGCAGAGGGAGAGAGAGAGAATCTCAAGCAGGCTCCACACAGTGTGGAGCCTGACACGGGGCTTGATCCCACGATGGTGAGATCATGACCTGACCCGATATCAAGAGTAGGATGCTTAACCAACTGAGGCACTCAGGCGCCCAAAACTTTCCAACTTTAAAATAAAATTTTGCAAAAGTTAAAAAAAAAGTGAACCTTAATTTCTTTTTTTTTTAATTTTTTTATTTAAAAAAAATTTTTTTTTCCAACGTTTATTTATTTTTGGGACAGAGAGAGACAGAGCATGAACGGGCGAGGGGCAGAGAGAGAGGGAGACACAGAATCGGAAACAGGCTCCAGGCTCTGAGCCATCAGCCCAGAGCCCGATGTGGGGCTCGAACTCATGGACCGCGAGATCGTGACCTGGCTGAAGTCGGACGCTTAACCGACTGCGCCACCCAGGCGCCCCTTAATTTCTTAAAAATATAAAATATTTTTAGAATTATTTATAGAAAATTTGGAAAATGGACATAAAAAAGAAAAAAGAAAATAAAAATTGTTACCTCCATTCTCACCACTCTCTACACATTATTATTATAACTTTTAAATTTGAGTATCTTTGACAATTTACATTAGTGTCAGTTGTGCAACATAGTGATTCATCTTCTCTATATGTTATGCTATGTTCACAACATAATTATTATTTATACATTAGCAATTTTCCTTCCTTGTTCTTAAATATATATTTCTTTAAAAAATGGGAGTGCACTATACATATATGAATGTAGTATGTCTCTAATCTGCTATTTCACTTAATATATTTGGGAACATTTTTCATGTTATTGGTTCTTTAGGATCACAGAGTTTGGGGCACCTGGGTGGCTCAGGTCATGGTCTTGTCTGACTTTGGTTCAGGTCATGATCTTGTGAGTCTGAGCCCTGTGTCAGGCTCTGTGCGGACAGCTCAAAGTCTGGAGTCTGCTTTGGATTCTGTGTCTCCCTCTGTGTCTCCCTCTTTCTGTCCCTCCCCTGCTCACACTCTGTCTCTCTCTCAAAAATAAATAAACATAAAAAAATTAAAAAAAAAAACAGAGTCAATGGCTTGTCTTTAACATAATCATTTCAATGAATGCCCTATTTTTGGTCAGTTAGGTTGTTTTCCATTTTTTTTCCTATTAGAAATGATGCTGAGATTAACACCCTGATTGAAAATTCTTTGTGTACATCCTCAATAATTTTCTTAGGGTAATTTCTCAGAAGATGAAGTTCTAGAAGTATAGTGTAATAGTTTGCAGCATGGACTCTGAACCATACAGCCTGGGTTTTTATCCAACTATTGATTTTGTAAAGTTGGGCAAATTTTAGTGTCTTGGTTCCCTGATATGTAAAATGTAGGTAAGTATTAGTACAACCTTACAGAATTTTTGTGAGTATTAAATGAGCAAATCTACTTAGAGCACATCAGACAGCATATGGAACTGAGTAGGAGTTCAATATTGGCCATTATTCTGGCATTAAGGCGAAGTACATTGGGAATCTTCTGGTTTTTGAGAGTTATTGCCACTGTACTTACAAAATTGTTAGAGAATTATTGCCATACTTTTCCCTCCAGAAAAGCTGTAGAATCAGTGCTCCCACTAGAAATGTTTATAGTCCATTTCCCTGCATCCGCACCAATACTGCCACCCTTTTTTCATTTATAGAGGAAGAAAAGTGAGGTTCAGTGGGATCAAATTCCTTAGCACTGGTCTCATTGTCAGGCATGGACAGATTTGGGACTGTAATACAGCTCTAGAGCGCCACAAACCTGTCCTTATCACAAGTCTCAATTAAGAATTTTACATTTGTACATATTAATGTACAGTATGTTGATTTGTAGGATTGGTTGGAATTAAGCCTTTTTTTCCCCCTCCAGATACAATGTGACCGTGGGAGCACTGGACAAGAAAGGGAGTCATTCTCCAGTGTACTGTGTAGCTAATTGATTGTAACTTACACTTTCCCCCATCAGAAGTAGAAAATGGCATTTATAAATATGTGTGGAAAAAAAACTCGCTGAAAATGTGTAAGACCCCAACATTTTGTTCTCGGAGACTGAAATAAAAGTTGGTCTTATCAATGGGTCACTAGAGGGCACTGTGACCCTTCAAGTTTTCAAGTTGTACTGTTTGGAAAAGAAATTCTGCACTGTTTTTGATTTTAGGGAAGATTTTTGCTGGCATCCAAAAGAGTGAAATCAAATATGAAGAGTGTGAGAGGTACACAGAAATTGATACAAGACTGTGTATGAGCTGATCAGGAGGTTACCTTTTTTGGTTACAGGAAAATCCAAGTTTTAGTAGCTTTTAAAATATGAAAATGGTATGTTTTGATCTACCTTCCTTTCATTGCACGACAGTGTTCTGGTCTTGAGACTTCTCATTGTTTTTCCCCTCTGGAAATATTTTATGTTACTGTTGTAGCTGTGAGTGTCACCACATGGCATAAACCAGTACTTTGGAAATATGAATTTATATTGTAGTGATTTTAAAGCATGTTAGTTATTATATAACAATTTTTCCCCCACAAACTGACCTGGGTCTTTAGTAGGTACGTTAGAATTCATCTGAAATAGCTTCAATGGCATCCTTATTTTTACTTCTTTAAATCCTGTGCTGAAGAGAAAGCTCTTCTTCCACTTGATTTTTCCACTCGATTGCAAAGCCTGGGATTAAGTTAACAAAATTGGTTAGCAGCATTGCTTTGCCCTTCAAAGTAACTTTCCTGAAGGACTTCCTACTGAGTAATGCATCAAGAAGTATCCTTGTTAACAATTTAAACTATGCTTTCCATTCACACAACATAAAAACCCAAGAACATTTGAAGTTAATTTGATAAAGTTGCAAATGATTTACCAAATTTTTTCTATTGTATGTTTGTCATCGTGTAGTAGGTTGTTTAGAGAAAAAAAATCCACACATCATTAAGTTTGAGTTTGTTCTGGCCTTATTAAAGGGACATGGTTTAAATAAAGAATGGTTTTATACAGTCTTCAACAATCAGATGCTGGGTTCTTTCTTTTTTCCAATAAATAAATACATACATACAATAAAACAAAGACCCTTAATAGTATATTTAAAATATAAGATACTTCAAAGTATATTTAAAAAATAAAAGAAAGGCTCTTTCTGTTCCTGCTCCTATCTGGAAAATAATAGATTAAAAGTTATCTGTTCAAACTGATTTCCTTATGTTTCCTAACCAAACTCACCTTCCAAAACAGTTCGCCTCCCTCATCCCCTCCACATTCCCCTCATCTCAATTCAGAATTTATGTTGGGAAGATTCTTTAATTCTTTCCCTTCCTTCCTCCCTCTCTTTCTCTTTCCCTCTCTCAATAATCACTCTAACATGCTGCAGGACTCTATGTCCAATTGTATATATATTTATTTCCTCATTTCTAGAGTGAAATTTTCTTTTTTTTATGTTTATTTATTTATTGAAAGAGAGAGACAGAGAGAGAGAGACAGAGAGAGAGAGAGAGACAGACAGACAGAGAGAATCCCAAGCAGCCTCTGCACTGACAGTGATAGCTGTCACCAATTGTGAGGCCATTACTGGGCAGAAATCAAGAGTCTGGCGCTTACTCCACTGAGCCACCCAGGCCTCTGGAAGAATACTTTCTAAAAATAGCCAAACCTTGTCATATAGCATGTTACCTTACCTTGGGTTCAAATCACCTTTCTGCGTATGGTTCATTCCTTTTACTGTCAAGCAGAACATTTTAAACAGTCGTGACAAGTCTTCCCCCCAGTATCAGTATTATAGTTTCCCTTACGGAAAGTGAGATCAACAGTGAGTGTGTGTTATGCTCTTTGTTTCCTGGATTAGAAGAGCACGAGAAACTGGCAGTGAAATTAGTCGCCAGTTTAGCTTTTTATAGGACTATATACATTTGGGGCTCACTACTTTAAGTATCAGTTTTTTTCCCTGCCATGGCACTGATCAAATCTGTTTCTGTTTCCTTTCCACAGCATGGTAATCACAGCTAACATTATTTAACACCAGTATTTCAGGCAGGCTAAAACCCTACATACACAGTATAGGGTGCATCCAGGCTAGGTCTCATCACCCTCTATTGGCCTAAGCAATATTGGCAACCTGTTCTTTTGGAATTCAAAATGGAACCTATTTCCAGAGAGGTTATCTTGCTGGCAGTAACTGAGAATTATCCAGCTGTCTGGAACCATTAGGATGACCCTAGGACTCCCATAATTACACTTTAAAAATATTTTGGGGAAGATATTATATAAGTTGAAAATATGTGATGAAGAATCTTGTACATATTAAACTCTTGTTTTTTCAACCCTCCGAAATTAATGTTTCCCTGCAGTCATTTCACTATTACCGTTGTTGAGTAAGGGAGAATTGCTGCCTTGGGAAGAAGAAGATGGATGGAAGGGAAGTCTAAGTCAGGGCAAGTAAACACAAAATCAGGCGGGGGCTGAGGAAGCGAATGGTCAGAGGCGTGTCGGAGTTTAGTCCACGGTGGGAGGGGGTGATAAAAAGCGGGGGAAACTTGGCGCTCACTCCCAGGAAACCTGAGGGTAGCCACGGGAACCAGGAAATACCTCACGGTGCCCAAAAGGCAGTGACTGCCACGCGGCCTGTGCGTCCTAGGTTCAGGCACCAGGGTAGCACTGCGCAGGCCCGAGCCTCGCCGGCGCCTCAAGAGGGAAGGCGGGGGTCTGCGCAGGCCGGTGGCGGAGGCAGTGCTGCGCGGCTGAGCTGCGCAGTGCACCAGCCTAGTCTGGGGGCGGCAGGATCCGCTGTAGGAAAGTCCAGACTGGATAGAGGACGTCCGGGGGTCACCCGTCGCACCTTGGGGACCCATGTGGGGTCCAGATGCCCGGTGAGCCCGGTATGTCCTCGGTGGGTTCTGGAGGACAGAGGCCGAGGTCTGGGGATAGCGGGGGAGGTGCAGTTTGCTGAGCTCTGCGGCCTCCATTTTGGAGAGCAGGGCCTAAGAAAATCCTTTAACAATCTGCCATTACCCAAAGAGGCCAAGACTACCTGGAAGTTACTGTTCTGCCCTGGAATTGTGTTCTACAGTCGGAGGGAGAGGAGTAACCTTGATCGACAGGTTTACTTTCTAACTCCAGTCAGAGTGGGGACTTGAGCGCCACCTTACAGCAATGAAATGGAAAAGACAGCCACATTTTACTAAAGGCGAGTGTAGCGTGTACTTTTTCAATCTTACAAAGCAGTTTGTGTTAAAAAAGATAGAAAAGTAGAATGAAAAAGTAAAAAAAAAAAAAAAAAAAAAAAGCTTAATGTAGGGGGGAAAACCCCTCCATATTTGGTATACATTCTTGAAGAAAGTACACAATTGTATCACAAAATTGGGGTCATACTGTATATGCAATTCCCTGACCCAATTTTTATACTTAATGCTTTTTTTTGAGTGTTTTCTCAGATCTTCAAGTATTTAATGGCTGTAACTTGACTGCACTCTTCACCTTCCTCTTCCTTTTTCTCCAATGTTTCTCCTGGCCCCTTTTACTGCCACAACTGTCTCCTTTATATCCCTCTTGGGGGCATCAGGCTTCCTCTTTTCCAGTCATGCCTGTATTTTGGGGAGCTTTTTAAATAATGCAGGCACCTTTAAGTACTCAGAGACTTTGTTGCCCTGTATATACTCTGCTCCATTTATGAATTAGTGCCTCATATATAAATTGAATTGGAATTAGGAAACAATGGGCAGACTGACCCCTAGTTCCATATATTGGGAATGTATTTGAGAACTAATATGAGGAATTTTACCAGAAAAAATGTCCATAATCATCACAAACTGTATTCTGTAATCTTCCAGCCAAGTCATAAATTAATTCTTGATAGGGAGGTTAGCCTTGTGGGGATTAAAAAATCATGACTATGGGGTGCCTGGGTGGCTCCGTTGGTTAAATGTCTGACTTGGGCTCAGGTCATGATCTCTCGGTTTGTGGGTTGGAGTCCTGCTTTGGACACTGTGCTGACAGCCTGGAGCCTGCTTTGGATTCTGTGTCTTCTCTCTCCCTCTGCCCTTCCTCTGCACACTTGTGCGCGCTCTCTCTTTCTCAAAAATAAACATTAAAAAAATCATGACTATGGGGCACCTGGTTCAGTCAGTTAAGTATCCAACTTTGGCTCACCTTTGGTGAATTTGAGCACACTCATTGGGCTTTCTGCTGTTAGCACAGAGCCTGCTTGAGATCCTCTGTTTCTCTCCCTCTCTCTCTCTCTCTGCCCCTCCTCTCACACGTGCTCTCTGTCACGAATAAGTAAACATTAAAAAAAAAAAATCATGACTATGGAAAATGCCCCCACAATTGTAGGGACATACTCCTCTGAAAATTGCTTTTTCCCACCTGTATACAGAAGGCAGTTTCCTTTATGTGTGGGAATTTTATTATTACTAGTTTTTGGGAAATTGTGGGTCTGTTTTCATCTTCTGTCCTTCACTTACGACACCTGCAACTTTATTCTCTTCAGCTATGACTGGCATATATTTATATCAGTTGGCATTTTCTAATCTTGGGAAGTTTTATGTGTTTGTTTGTTTGTTTTTTAAACCAAGGTAACTTTAGTTTCTACCTTGACCTTAATCTATGTGAAGAAATGGGTCTAGAATGAATGAATGACTAGCCACATTTAGTGGTAATGTAAGAAGAGCTCCAGTTTAGTTATTTTTGTGTTTTAAAAAATGAAGATACCTGGCTTTAGGTTTGATTTGATTATTTAAATAACCAAAGAGTTTATAAAAAGTTTTTGAAATTACTTTTTGAAGAATAAAGCAGACACTGAAAAGGGAAACGTGTCATTCCCCTTACCACCCATCTCAGAGTTCACTCATCCCTTAACATACCCAGCAGAATCCAAAATTTGTCAATTTCTCTAAAATTAAAGGGAAATAATTTTGGGGTTGAAATCTTGAGCCATGATTACCTGCTGGGCATATATGAAAATAGAAAGATAACTTTAGAAATAACTAGAGGGAATGGTTTATTTTAGAAACATTTTAAGCTGAGGCATAATGATATATATAATATATACATAATGTATATTATAATTATATTAGGCATATTATTATATAATACAGTATATATTGTATTATTGCCTTTTAACTTCCCTGGCAAAGGTAGAGGTGTGTTGTGGTTTCTATTAGGTTCAGTAAAATAGGTAAAATTATTCTCAGACTGAGGCTTTAAGTATTATAAATTACATTATAGAGGTCATCTGTTAGAGCCATATTACCAGGCTTAGCTCAAGGAAAGAAAATTATTTTATAGTAATTAGGAATTTGGAACCATGGTACCCAGGCTGAGAGCACTGGATAAAAAGAACTGGAAGAGAATTAATTCAGCTAAAGAGAATTAATTCAGTTTAGGCTGAGAAGACGCTTAGGATAAGCAGCCTCTGGCTATCCCAGTTTAAGCTTTATGCATTAGGGGCAAAGTATATGTGTTTTACCTGAATTCATTACTAAACATGATTGGTTAAAGAATAGATATAATGCTACATCTGTCAAACATGGAATAAAGGTATGCTTTTTCTGGGGGGCCCTCCCATATACAAAGGTGCAATTTTCACTTTATGATGCTAGATGGGTTATGAGAAGAAATTGTAACAAAAAGAGGCGGTTCTATAAATAATATTGATACAGGATTAAATGGAAAAAAACCCTGCAATATATTGCAAATATAAAGAAACCATATGTAGAGAAAACTGCACAAAAAATTATAATAATGTGAGAAGGGAAGTTAAGATTGAAAAGGAAAGTTAAGGTTAATAGTAACTTTCACCCTGAGGCCAACACAGTCCCTTTTCTTCTATACCATTGGGTTTCTGTACATGCATTTTAAGAGAGATGTTTGGATCTGGGTTACATAATCCATTGTTCTTTGCTCCAGTACATTATGTTGCATCTTTGGAGATTTCCTCTCAGCTTCTCCGTAAAAAGAATTGTTCTTAAAAACTTTACTGCATGGAGCCATGCTTCAGCTAGTGCAATATTTCCATATTAACCTTTCTGATAAGCAGAGCCTACATTGAACGTAAGTTTAATGCAAATTGGGAAGAAAAGGAAATAATAATGAGGCTTATTCAGTCTTGTATAAGTTTTGCCTGAGGAAAAGTGATGCAAATTACTATTATTATTTTTTAGGTGCTTGCTCTTGCTGGGTCACTCTCTCACTTTGTGGAAGATAGTTACCCCATCAGCATAATGAAAGTCTGATTGACCAAGGGCTAGTCAATATACAGCATTTTCTCTTTATTTATACTGTTAAGATTGAAAAACAAATTAAGTGAAAGGAGTCATATTTGTGGAATATAACATTAAAATTTTTTTAATGTTTGTTTATTTTTGAGAGAGAAAGAGGGAGAGTTAGAGTGTGAGTGGGGGGAGGGGCAGAGAGAGAGAGAGGGAGACACAGTACTCCATGCAGCTCCCGTCTGTGCTAACAGCTCAAAGCCTGACGGGCTTGAACCCCCAAACCATGAGATCATGACCTGAGCTGAAGTCGGATGCATAATTGACTGAGCCACCCTGGTGCCCCAATCAGTCTTTTTAAACCTTTTTTGCTTGACAACAATTATGAGTAACTTTTTCCTCCACTCAACAACCATTTATCTGATTCTCTGACACCAACTGGTTGTACTACAAGTCAATTCAGTAGTGACACTACCATAGTTAGGTGCAGACCCCACATATCAAGGGCTCAGTTTCATAAGACTGCCCCACTTCAAATGACAGTCACAAGTCCCAGGTTGCCACCTATAATTATGACAACTCTGCTATATATTTGGGGTTCCTACAACTCAAAAACTCAAAAAACACTTTACTTACTGATTTATTATAAAAATGCATAGGGCAAGATATAAGTGGGGCGCATGGAGCTTGCATATCACCCTCTGAGCACCTTGATGTGTTCATTAACCCAGATGCTTTCTGAATCTTATCATTAGGAATTTTCATTGTTTGATTAAATCATTACCTCTTGGTGATGAACTCAATCTGTAGCCCTTCTCCACTCCCTAGAGTTTAAGGAATGGGGCTGAAAATTCCAGTCCTCTAACCTTGCCCTGGTCTTTCCGGTGACCGGCACCCATCCTGAAACTATCTAGCAGCCCACCAAGAGTGGCCTCAATTGAAGAAAAGATGCTCCTATTACCCAGGAAATTCCAAGGGACATAGGAGCTTTGTGTCAGGAACCAGGGATAAAGAACAAATATGAAAACAGAAGATGATCTTATCCCTACCATGCAGGAAATTACAGAGGTTTTAGGAGCTCTGTTTAAGGAACTGTGGGCAAAGACCAAATATATGTTTACTTTTTTAATCACATTCTCCCCTTATAATTTTTTATCATAGGAGAAATATTGTCCTTCCTTCTCACCCATTACGTGTTAATTATATTTAAGTATCTGGCATATCCCCATAGAGCTTCTTCACTAAGAAATATTTTCCTGAAAATTCCAATAAAAGGAGTGGAAAAGAGAAGCTTCCTCATAAAGATTATGTTATTTTTTCTTTCCTTATAATCTTGGCACATGCTGTTTTGTGTAGGGTATGATAATGTCCACAAAAGTCTTGTGATTTGATATAAATATCATAAGTTACAAGGGATAATTATAAAAAGAACTGGTCTAACACTAAAATAGGCATTTAACGTACTTCATTAACTCATTGAATTCTCATAACAATTTTGTGAGTTAGGAACTATTATTTTTATTTTAAAGTCAAGAAATTTGAGTTGAGAATTCTGTAAATTATATAAAGTCACATAGCTAGTGGGTGGGAGAGGCAGGTCTGAACTAAGGTCATATGTACTAATAAAGACTACAAGCTGATTTTCCTTTATTATTTTTTTAATTTTTTAA